TATATAAATTATCAAAAAAAATTTTATCGAGAACAAAAAAAAAAAAAAAACGCTTTGCAAATGTAATTACTTTAAGTCTTCATTAGATGAGCTCTTAGTTCTCCACGACAGGTTAATTCCTTTAAGCTTTGATCTAAAAAGGTAATTGTTATTAAATTATACAACGCACGTACAATTATTTCACAAAATTATTTACTTTTTAGTGGATCCAGTACTTGGTAAACTATTACTCTTCACAGGTGTGGCAACATTTTTTACGGAAACTCCACTAACAACTTGATGATTAATATCATGTAGTTTTCTACTAGCTCCTTCGCCTGCAAACAATGAAAAAGTCTTGTTCACTGTTATTGCAGTTGTAACTTCTTTTGTTGGTAATATCCCACTATTCAATTTCAATTGTTTTTTATCTTCCAAATTTGCAATAAACCTAGGTGTACTTGTGCTAGAACTTTTATCCTGGGAAGAGGATCTTGATGTGATGCTAACACGATCACTGGGTAAATGGTTTTCGGGTGGTGACCGTAATGGTGCCGAAAATGATAAAGCATTTAATTCGGATGAGCCACATGTTGCATGCTCGATTGCACCGCTGAATTGTTGTTAAAAAACAATTAAGACTTAACTAATATTTACAAATAGTACCAACAATATTGTAGTAAATCTAACGCAGCAAACCTGGCAGGAATAGCTTCCCGTACAGATTCTTGATCAAACAGAATACATAATTGTGAGTATGTATACATAATCTAATATGAAAACAGTTTGAATAAATGTTGTCATTGTTAACAAATTTAATAAGAATGATTAATTCAAACCTGATTATTCCTTTCTTGCTCAAATTCTTCCATGCCTAAACTCTCTAATGATTTTCCAAAAGTTTCGAAATATTTCTGTAATATTGGAGCAATCTATAAAATAACAAACATCAGTATTAAAAAAAAAAGATATTAAATACTGCTACAAAAGTCAGTTTTTTCCTTACATTACGCTCCCAATCTGCTTTATCAACATTATTACAAACATGCAGCAAGAACCCAGCGCTTTTCATACTAATAGATAATTGATTTTTTAATATATTAATTGATGTGCCCTTAAGTGGGCTTCTTTCTACATGTTTGTTGTTTTGATTAAGAGAACCATCATTATTGAATTGAACTAAAAGTTTTATTAAAGTATCAGAGAATCCAGATTCTATTTCTGCTAATACTTTAGGCGTTGGCATTAATGTGGTGAGCTATGTTATTGACGCATAAATATGATATCAAATAAGTACTATCGATATCAAATTTTTAAGTGAGCAAAATAATGCATCAACAAACCTTTTCT